TGCTTGCAGCAGCCATGCCAACAAAACAATCCACCCAATTCGATTCCGAACAAGGCGGCGGACGCCGACGAAACACACATGGTTACCATACCAACCCGACGCCCAGCTGCTTGGCAGCGCTGCGTGACAAATGCGGAAGACCGCTCAGACTTAGACGTGACACAAGGGGGCGGGGAGATAGTGATCACGCAGACCCGGACGGCAGCACATACAAGTCAGGCCATGTTGCCAGTAATTACTGGGGACTGCCACTGTATCGGCAGAACTTCAAGCGTGACAACGAAGACATCAGTAACAAGGCGGCGTGGCATGGTGCTCAAGGCTAATATCTTCTGGGCTCTTGTTAAGGGGTTTAATCTAAGTTGCCATAATAGGGATCCATAGTAAATACTATGGTCTCTTTATTATGGTAACTGAAATTAAACCCTGAACCCTACGTAAACCCGAACCCTAAACCCTAAACCCTAAACCCTGAACAAGAACCCAGTCTTTCGAGCAGTCTGAACCAACTTGCCCTCTGCAGCCAAAGCCCGGAACCCCGGAAGTTCTTTCGAACGCAACTTTGCGCCTTGCCCGGCATAGCATGGTTTAGGGTTTAGGGTTTAGGGTTTATGAACATATATGTCAAAAACTGTGAATATAAGTATAGTTGAACATATGTGATTTTTAAAACACTCAAGAATATTCAATATAACAACATAGTTACTAGTTGTATATTTATATGACTGCAACAACCGGCTCCCCTTCGAGCACTGCTCCTTGCGGCGGCATGTCGTCGGTTCAAGGTTTATCATTAGGGTTTGGGGCTTAGGGTTTAGGGGTTTAGGGCTTATAGGGTTTAGGGGTTCAGGGGTTCAGGGTTTAGACCGTTCCAACAGCTGCTGGGTTGCGCCTTTTGAGAGTAAGGGGTTGGATGTACTGAAATGCGAAAGGTCCGAATTTTCAAGCACTGAGCGTTACTGCTGCCCAAAATCCCCCAATCGACCCTGAGCCCTAAACCCTACACCCAAAACTCCACCGCCTCTTTGGCAGCCTTGGTGTTGCGTTTGCTGAGCGAACCGACCTGGGAAAGGGCTCCCCGTATGGTTACACTTGCACATTTGCCGCCATTCTCACACAAAGCTCGGATTTCAGGCGTTCACAACTATACCCTCCCTTAACCCTAAACCCTAAACCAGCAACTACCCAAACCATGAACCCTAAACTACCCTACTTCCAATCCTAAGATCCTGAACTCCAAGCCCCAAGACTAAAAAAACAAAAACCTCGCGGCCTGCAGGGTCTTAGGGGTGTCGAGTGCGGGGTCTGAAGGGCTGCGAATAAAAGGGTGCGGGCTTTGGGTTGCAGGTTTTAGGGGTTTACGCTCTCGCAACTCGGACACTGCCAGACGAGGTCTCTCGCGTTCAACTGGAAAACATCTGCTCGCAAGGTTTTAGGGGTTTAGGGTTTAGGGTTTGGGGTCGTGCGATGACTTTTAGTGTCTGGGGCTTAAGGTTGTGGAGTTAGGGTTTTTGAGTTTCCAGGCTTGTTGGGCGTAGATGCCCACGGGTAGAATGAACCTCAGGCCCTTAGCCTTAGTTAGCCCCGAAGCCCTGAGCCCCAAGCCTTGACCCGTAAACACGAAACCGTCAAACTCAAAGTCCAAACCTTAGGGTTTAGGGTTTAGGGAACCCCAAAAACCTTCTGAAAGTGAGAAACCCCACGACCGAAACCCTTTTTTTTCACAAGGGACTCGTGACTCGTCTGCTGCCCTTACCGACCGGAACCCTGAACCCATAAACCCCAAACCCCCCGAGGCCGGTTCTGGCAGTGGGAATAACGTGCCAAGGCCCCCTGCAAGCATGCTGATTTCATGGTCCCGGAGAGCCACCTGGACATTCTGTAATACAGCTTTCATAATGAAGTCCGTTGTAATAAGAAACAGGACTCATACAACAGTAATCACAATAACCACGGGTGCACGGATGCCAGGGCGGAGGTGAGACTTCTGGAATTCACGGCTGCGGGATGACACGTTTTGCAGCATGCGGCGTAGCTGAGTGATCGTAGGGTACACAGCGGGGGCAAGATGAACACAGAACATACATATCACGGCGTGCCAGGGCTACATGAAAACTGCGACAGCAGTACGATGATGTAAAATCACGCGAACAACTGCAAGGCAACCTGGTTGGGTTTAGGGTTGAGTTCTCCCAGGAGATGTCCTTCCCCGTGCCTTGTCCAGCCCTCTGCTTGCCAAAGCTGCCTGAACCCTTAGATCGACTTTGTCAACCGGATATTGCGGTCATCCAGGATAGTGCAAACGATCATGATACATGTTGTGGCGAGCCACTACTCCTACAGCTGCCAATGAAAAACATAACGGTTTCTGTGGAGGCTTTTCGAGAGAGAGTGTGACGTGCTGGAGGCCCTACTTCTCAAGTGTTGTGCATGTGTTCTTGTGTGTTTCTCGTGTGTTGCTGCTTACGGCTTACGTGTCTTTTTTCTGTTTCTAAAGAGGAGCAATTCCCAGAAACATGCGATGCCGGTAGACAAGCAGAGACGACGTGCACCTAGCAAAGCCATTTGCGTTGCAGCAGTGCACACACCATGTACCGAGCTGACATTTTCAACTCGCCTTGAAACGTTCAGGAGTCTTAGTCTTACTTCGGGATACCTAAACCCTAAACCCTAAACCCTAAACCCTAAACCCTAAACCCTAAACCCTAGAGCAGTGCCTCCTGGCGCAGCTGGTGGAGCGTCATCTCCAAGTTAGACAGCTTGCCTGCAAGGCCCGAAGTGAAATTTGAGCGCAGGTTCTGGTTTCCTCCCGCCAAGGACCAAGCTGACCAAGTCTAGGGTTTAGGGTTTAGGGTTTAGGGTTTAGGGTTTAGGGTTTAGGGTTTAGGGTGCAGGGTTTAGGGTTTAGGGTCGCACGGCAAAGTCTGGGGTTTGGGGTTGGCGCTTGCGGGCCTGATACAGGCAACGCTACACGACAGTCAAGCGCAAGCCCATGATTCCCAGCAGGCCGAAGCAAGCACAAATCCACAAATCGCCAGTGCCAGTGCGCACGCGAATGGGGAGAAGCCCCCTCCCCCAAACTAGGCATCCCTAACTTTACTTGTCCGAGCCTTTCCGTGTTTCTCCCCCAAGGTTCGGTGGCTGCCTTTCTGACCTGGGTGCGGGGGATTGAAGCTCTTGTGAAAGTGATATAGGGCTCTTAAGACTTGGAATTAAGATCTGAGGTATATAATACTATAACTACAGTGAGGAGCCCTCGGGGAATCTTATGGTGAATGACTCGGGCTTCTGTATGACGCGGAAGAAAATCGAATGACATGAATCTCGCGTGCTTTGACGACACATCCGAAATCGGTCAGGGCGGACGGTTGGACGGAAGGATCTGCAAATACCGAGAATGTGTAGCTGAGGCTCGTTCCGTGTTCAAGGCCTTGTCAATCTTTAGGGCTACACCTATAGTCTCCATTGTAGTTCCGCTTTAGGGATACCTTATAAAATCCATAATCTTTATATTTGGTTAAACAAAAAAAGGAGCTACAATGGAGACTATAGGTAGGTTTCGACTGTAGGGCGCCCAAGGCCCTGAACCCGGACGGTGTGCAGAGGCTGGTGCAGTTGCGAAGCGGTGACATTATGAAACTAAGGGCTTTAGGAGGGACCCTGGGCTCCTTCAAGGGTTCCTTAAAGGGTTCCATAAGGGCTACTCTAAGGGTTTCGGGTTTAGGGGTTTAGGGTTATGAAAGCTCCACAGCCCTTACTATGGCGCTGCAGGGTTCAGGGTTCAGCGCTTAGGCCTGGACCGCTTAGGGCTTACCATAAGCCCTTCTACTTGCTTGCTCTGCTTGGCAGGCACGTTTTTCCGTTCGAAGATCAAACCACAAATTGGAAGAACACCACCAAACCTGGCCCTGACGTAACTGAATGGAAGACGTCCAGTAAGCTTCCCTGTATCCACATCGATCAGCCAGGCAAACGAAATCGACATTAGGATCCCTGAAAACAACTTGAGGTTCTTAATCTCATATCGTTCTTACGATTCGAACCAATTGCAGCTTCAACTGGAGCGGTCCCAAAGCAGGGCGGTCTTTGCTTCTTTGCCACCTCCCTGGTTTGAGCTGTGTCACGCAAGGTTCAAGCCTCACAGTGAATGTCCCCCTGCTGGGAGCAGCACGAAAACTGTCCGCCCTAAGTCTGTGATAGAAAGATCCAGGGGCATTCCTGTACAGCTAATCATTTAACCACGACTGAAGCACCGTCTTTCTACAGTAGTGGCACCTTTGTGCTGTGCGATGAAAACGATAACCCCACGATTAGCCCGCACCCACCATCACCATCATTTTCAGCCTCGGCGATGTCATGACCTTGATGAAGATGATAATCTTCTTCTTCTTCATCATCATCATCAATCATCATCATATTCTTCTTATTATTCTTCATATTCTTCTTCAGCACCGTAATCATCATCATAACCATGACCATCACCAACGTCATCGTCGTCATCATCATCATCATCATCATCCACGTCCAGCAACGCAGCCACCACCACTACCACAGCCACCAACTCCGCAGCAGCCCCTACAGCGGCCGTCGCCATCGCCAGCCGGCCAGCAATCATCCATCTAAGACTTTAAGGTTGAGGTTTGGGATCTAGGGTTTAGGGTTTCAGGATCTAAGGCAAGCACATTGGCGGGCCCGTCTGGTCACACAAATTCGTACAACTAGGACCAGACATAAAGCCAACACAGCAGAACACACAGAAACTGCAACAGCGGCAGCATCAGCAGCAACAACAGCAGCGATACTCGCATAGACGATCGCGCACAAAACGACAACCGCAGCAACGAAGAGCCGGCTACCCACCTCGCACAAAACAAAAAGCAGTGACAACGTGATTTTTGCAAACCACAGCACCAGTACTAATACCAACAACAACACACCCCGCACCCTCACCTGCACCACCACCGTCACCGCCCCCGCCATCACCAAGGAAGACAAAAACCACAAAGACAAGACGACGAGGATCTCACCAACAACACCTGCACGAAAAGTACAATTACGACGACCACGACGACAAACAACGACAACGAAAACCACAATAATCACAACTGCAACATCCGCCACTAGGGCCAGAAAACTGCTACTGTGACTGCTACTGCTACAATTTTTAGGTAAGCCGGCGCTTGGGTGATCTTCTGTCAGCTGTCCCTCTGTGCCGAGCCAGTTCAGAAACCAGGAGGCGCGACAAAGCCGCCAGCGGAAGACCGACGACCTTTCTACATTCGGGTTTAGGGTTTAGGAGGCCTGAACTCAACAAGTGGGAAAAAGGTCGGTGCCCGTATACAGAACCCTAAACCCTAAGCCGTGACTTTGGTTTTGGGATTACTCCACCTACCTTCATCCCACCTTTCCACCCTCATACATGGGGCTCTGATGCAATCAGCGGCTCCCTTGATGTTGGGACCCCTTAACCCAAAACCCTTGTTTTTTCCCTCTCGCGTGGCAAAAACTATGCTCACTGGCGAGGTTGGTAAGGAGACAACAGAGTTTGCACTAAATTAGATGTTTCTAGGGGTTTAAACCCTTTTGCAGCAGGCTTCTCTCGCCCGGAACTGCCGTCGCTGTGAAGCAGTGCGGTACTCATGACTGCGCAACCCCGCACAACGTGCACTATGACAAGCCATGCAGTTGGAACGCCAAGCTTTGAGGAATTATTGTACTCAAGACCACAAATGAAAACTGAGTAAACGCAAGGTCGTGGAAGTCATGAAGATCACTACAGTACGCATCAAAAAAACACTGCCCCATGTGAAGATCAACAACGGGGCCATAGAACTCCAATGGCACCCACATGAGCCATAAGTAAAGGACATGTACGGCTCGTCCTGTCCGGAAAGAGGTCTGAGTTCCATGCTCCTTGTCTAGCCACAAAATCTGAAAGCTTCATCCTCTCGGGCAATCAGAGGCGCCAGTCAACATGTAATAGTTAGACCCTTTTCAGCACGGACTGAGGTTAGGCCCTTTTTTTGAACCCAGGCTCTTTGCTATCAGCTGGGGTTAGACCCTAAACCCTAAACTCCTAAACCCTTGAAGAATCTAGCCTTGTGCACTGTCACAGAAGGCACAGTTAAGACAAACTAAGGGGCGTTTTGATAATCGCCGCGGATGCCGGTGACAAGCAAGCTGCCCACCGCCTGCAGTCTTATCATTAGAGGCCTCAAAAGGTGGGACGAAGGTTGGTAGGATAAAGGATCCCTTGTATAAGGACTCTTATTTGGGGATTACCCCACCTACCCTCATCCCACCCTTAGTGCTCCTGGATATCAACAATCACCCAGCAGTGTCGACGTGAAGATCTTTCTGTGTGGAGGAAGCACACATATGTGCAGACTTGTTGAGGCTTGCTCTGTCAATTACTTTACTAGTGGCATTAAGCCGGAACGCGTGAAGTAACGTGTATGCAGACACATCGCTCAAGCAACGATCATGAGAGTGCGTAGATATGGGCGTGTGTGCATTTAGCTTTGCACACGTACAGGTAAATGCTCGGGCTAAAGGTCTACGCTTGCATCTTTTCAGCCACCGTGTCTTCTGAAGTTTATCAGCTGCCCGTGCCGGGGCTGCCCGCAGACGCGAAATGTTGGTTGCAAACACCCAGGCGCATCATGATCTCGAGCTCCGAGCAGCCAGCATCATAAGCATCAGCTGCCCGTGCCGTGGACACAAGTTGGGGTTGCTAAGGCCCACCAGCATCATAAGCAACAGCTGCCACCCCAGAACTTGTCCAGCCACACTCGGCCAGCATCAGCTGGCCTTGCCGGGGACACAAGCACTTAGCCCCGCGCGGCAAGCATCATCAGCATCAGCTGCCCTTGCCGGGGGGGACATACTTTGTGGTTGCAAAGCCCACCAGCATCATAAGCAACAACTGCCACCCCCTTGACGGGGACACAACTTGTAGCCCACCAGCATCACAAGCAACAGCTGCCACCCCCACGCGGCCGACATCATCGGCATCAGCTGCCCTTGCCGGGGCACAAGCTGTGGTTGCAAAGGCCCACCAGAATCATGAGCAACAGCTGCCACCCCAGCGTTTCTCTGGCCGCTAGCCCCACGCGGCCAGCATCATCAGCATCAGCTGCCTATGCCGCGAACACAAGTTGTGGTTGCAAAGGCCCATCATAAGCAACAGCTGACACGCCAGGGCTTCTCAAGCCCCATGCGGACAGCATCATCAGAATCGGCTGCATTTGCCGGGGACAGGTTGCAACTATCCACCACCACCATAAGCAACAGCTGCAGGGCTTCCTCCAGCCCTACGCGGCCAGCATCATCAGCATCAGCTGCCCTTGCCGCGAACACAAGTTGTGCACCACCACCACCACCACTACCACCACCACCACCAAAAACAGGTGCCATCCCGAGCTTCTCCAGCCCCACGCGGTCAGCATCATCAACCTTTGTGGTTGCAAAGGCCCACCAGCACCATAAGCAACAACTGCCACCCAAGGGTTTCTCCAGCCCCGGCCAGCATCATCAACATCAGATGGATTTGCCGGGGACACAAGTTGTGGTTGCAGAGGCCCATCAGCATCATAAGAAACAGGTGCCAATTCAGGGTGTCTCCAGCCACACGCGGCCAGCTGCCCTTGCCGGGGACACAGGTATCACAGGTTGTGGTTGCAAAGGCCCACCAGCGTCATAAGCAACAGCTGCCACCCGCTCCAGCCCCATGCGGCCAGCATCAGCTGCCTTTGCCGGGGACACAAGTTGTGGTTGCACCAGCACCATAAGCAACAGCTGTCGCCTCTTCAGCCCCAGCATCACCAGCATCAGCTGCCCTTTCTGGGGAAAGAAGTTGTGGTTGCAAGGGCCCGCCAGCATCATAAGCAACAGCTGCCACCTCAGGGCTTCTCCAGCCCCACGCGGCCAGCATCATCATCATCAGCTGCCCTTGCCGGAGACACAAGTTGTGGTTGCGAAGGTGCACCAGCAACATAAGAAACAGGGCTTCTAGTCTAGCCCAAGTGGCCAACATCATCAGCATCAGCAGGGCTTTTCCAGCCTCACGCGACCAGAATCATCAGCATCAGCTGCCCTTGCCGGGGACACAAGTTGTCGTTGCAAAGACCAAGCTGCCCCGCCAGGGTTTCTCCAGCCCCACACGGCCAGCATCATCAGCATCAGCCGCCCTTGCCGGGGACCCAAGTGGTGGTTGCAAAGGCCACCAGCATCATAGGCAACAGGGTTTCTAGCCCCACATGGCCAGCATCATCTGCATCAGCTGCCCTTGCCGGGGACACAAGTTGTGGTCGCAAAAACCCAGCTGCCCTGCCAAGGCGTCTCCAATCCGCGCGGCCAGCATCATCAGCATCAGCTGCCCTTGCCCGGCGGGGCACGAGATGTGGTTGCAAAGACCCAGCTGCCCCGCCAGGCCAGGGTTTCTCCAGCCCCACGCGACAAGCATCATCAGCATCGGCTGCCCTTGCCGGGGACACCGGTTGTGGTTGCAAGACCCAGCTACCAGGTTTCCCCAGCCCCACGCAGCCAGCATCATCAGCATCAGCTGCCCTTGCCGGGGAAACAAGTTGTGGTTGCGAAGGCTCCAACCCCGCGCGGCCAGCATCATCAACATCAGCTGCCTTTGCCGGGCGGGGCGCAAGATGTGGTTGCAAAGACCCACCTGCCCCGCCAGGGTCCTCCAGCCCCACACGGCCAGCATCATCAGCATCAGCCGCCCTTGCCGGGGACCCAAGTGGTGGTTGCAAAAGCCATCAGCATCGTAGGCAACAGGGTTTCTAGCCCCACATGGCCAGCATCATCTGCATCAGCTGCCCTTGCCGGGGACACAAGTTGTGGTTGCAAAGACCCAGCTGCTCCGCCAGGGCTTCTCCAGCCCCACGCGGCCAGCATCATCAGCATCAGCTGCCCCGCCAGGGACGCAAGTTGTGGTTGCAAAGGCCCAGCTGCCCTGCCAAGGCCGTTCCAACCCGCGCGGCCAGCATCATCAGCATGAGCCGCCCTTGCCGGGCGGGGCACAAGTTGTGGTTGCAAAGACAAAGCTGCCCCGCCAGGGATTCTCCAGCCCCACGCGGCCAGCATCATCAGCATCAGCCGCTTTTGCCGGGGACCCAAGTGGGGGTTGCAAAAGCCACCAGCATCATAGGCAACAGGGCTCTCGCCCCATGTGGCCAACATCATCTGCATCAGCTGCCCTTGCCGGGGACAAGTTGTGGTTGCAAAGACCCAGCTGCGCTGCCAGGGCTTCACGCGGCCAGCATCATCAGTATCAGCTGCCCTTGCCGGGGACACAAGTTGTCGTTGCAAAGACCCAGCTGGTGGGGTTTCTCCATCCCCACGCGGCCAGCATCATCAGCTGATCCCTTGCCGGGGGCACAAGTTGTGGTTGCAAAAGCCACCAGCATCATAAGCAACAGGGCGTCTAGCCCCACGTGGCCAGCATCATCTGCATCAGCTGCCCTTGCCGGGGACACAAGTTCTGGTTGCAAAGACCCAGCTGGTCCGCCGGGGCTTCTCCAGCCCCACGCGGCCAGCATCATCAGCATCAGCTGCCTTTGCTGGGGTGGTTGCAAAGGCCCCACGCGGCCAGCATCATCAGCATCAGCTGTCCTTGCCGGGGACTGCAAAAGCCCACCAGCATCATAAGCAACAGGGCTTCTAGCCACACGTGGCCAGCATCATCTGAATCACCCTGCTGCTCCGCCAAGGCTTCTCCAGCCCCATGCGGCCAGCATCATCAGCATCAGCTGCCCTTGCCGGGGTTCCGAGTTGTGGTTACAAAGACCCACGCGGCCAGCATCATCAGCATCAGCTGCCATTGCCGGGGTTCCGAGTTGTGGTTGCGAAGAGCCACGCGGCCAGCATCATCGGCATCAGCTGCCCTTGCCGGTGACACAAGTTGTGGTTGCAAGGCCCACCAGCACCAAAGGAAACAGCTGCCAACTCAAGGTTTCTCCAGTGCTCCAGCCGCACAAGTTGTGGTTGCAAGGCCACCAGCTGCCAATGCAGTTTCAGGAGTTGGACGCCGATTTTTTAGAGTCCTACACGCCGTCGGTCAACGAATCCGACTCGGCCCAACCCTTCTGCCTTCTCCAATTTTGGTTTAGGATCTAGGGGGTTTAGGGGTTTAGGGGTTTAGGGCCTTGTCTCAAACAAACCGCAGACACGGTCCCTGGCCCCCAAGCCTCACCTCCTCTGCCTGCATGTCTATCCCTGGTCCCGGCTCTGTGGCCGAAGGAGGGTTTAGGGTTCCGGGTGGTTTAGGGTTTAGGGTTTAGGGTCAGGGTGGTTTAGTGTTTAGGCCGCGAAGCGATAACAACTACATGGCGTTTCCGAAAAGAAGGGACCCAACGATATGAACCCTACTGAAAAATCCTCAATGAGGTACCGGTAATTTTGAAAAACCACGTAGCAAAGCTCAAACATGTCACTTGAAGTTTCAAGGGTTCAGGGAACCGGCCTAGACTTGTTCCCGAGAATAGGCGGCTCGTCAAATTCAGCACCGTACCCTACACCTTAACAGCCCCAAAAGCTTTAATACTGTAAACCAGAGTGCCAGAGCCAAAACACAGATTCAACCTGATTCAACCCAAGGTTCAGGGTCTGTCTTGAGTTAAAGGGTGCATTAGCTTCGTCTCCGAACGTATAGGCCTACATATGATACAACTCGGCGGAAAGAACTGGTATGTTTTTCTACCAAAGGACGCACACACACACACACACATATATATATATATATATATACACACGCACACGCACACAATTAGTAAATACCCTAAGGAGTAACTTCACTATCTATTCGGGACCCGACCATCAGCAAGTGAACCCAAAACCATCAAACCGTCCCAAAACTCCAAATCGCCTTAGATTTACCTTGTTTTGGCTAGTGTACCCTATACTACATGTATTCTCGCAACCGGACTCCTCGCTCCGAAAACCCCAACACTCAACCATCGGTTTGGGGGTTTAAGGCCCCGTTTAGGGTTTAAGGCCTCCTGCAGGAACCCAACAAAAATCACGCCTGGATGCCGTAGCCTCCGGCTTTGTCAAAGGGCTCCCCGGTGGCGATGTAGGCCTTCAGCTCCTGGACAAAACAGGGAATACTTGGAGGATCATGGGACTTAGTAAGTAAGGTTACAAGTCCTTCAAATATAAGTATAGTTACCTTAATTATAACCCTACTTACTAAGTCCCATGATCCTTTGAATAGAGGCTTGTGTAGCCACGGTTCAGGGCCAGGGTGTCGGATTTCTGGGATTAGGGTTTAGGGTTTAGGGTTTAGGTTTAGGGTTTAGGGTTTAGGGTTTAGGGTCTAGGGTTTAAAGGCCTCATAGGTTTCCTTTCACTAAGTTTCTTGCAAGCTTTCAAAAGGGTAGGGCAAAAGGTACTATGGGTTCTCGCGAGGATCCTAAACCAAAATGCCACAAGAGGGGCAAGTGAGGCCAATCTTTCCCTGCTAGAAACACTTGGAGGCTAAATACCCTAGCCCCAAACAGGTTAGTCTTCCAAATTGTAGTAGAAATTACATACGTCCTTAAAGGTTCAAGGTTACCTACTCAGCCCCTAAGAGTTTCTAACGTAATGATCCCCGTACAATTCTGCAGCACTTTAACCTCCATCAACGTAGTCCCTGCAGCCGCATCCCATGTCCTTGACAGGCCCAGTTCCCAGTCCTAAACCCCACAACCCTAAACTCTAAACCCTAAATATACTTCGTTCGAAGCCTTGGCCCTTCTACCAAAAGCTCAAAACAAACCCCTAAAAACTCCAATATTCCTTGATGAGGGAATCTGCTACTGAATTTGCTAATGCTGGGCCTTGCAAAGATAAGGACTAGCGACAGTATGCATTATCTGACAGCCTGTGCCTATGCTCTAAACCGAAGCGCCTTCCATTTTCCATGACAGAAACCCTAAACCCTAAACCCTAAACCATGTGCCCTCTGGCCCTAGCTTTTTGAAGACCTAGATAAAGGGAAATCATAATCATGCACCCGGCCCCGAAAAGGTAGGGTTATAGGGTTCAAGTGTGTGGTTGTCAAAATTATGGTCCCTTTTTGGGGTACCCTGAATATTAGGTGCCGTATAATATTACGGACCCAAAACGGGACCATAATTTTGACAACCACCCAAGTAAAACCCTGATGGAAACTTGGAGCCACTGGTAGAGCTCCTCGTCTGAGCTGTCGGCGAAGCAGACGGTAGACACTTCCTGAGCTGACTATCCAAGGTAGGGAGGCTTTGATGTAGAAGCGTGAATTTGCAAAGTTCGGAATCGAACCCTGGACATTTTACTGCGGATTTTTGGACTGCGACGGGTCGGACGTGGTCACGCGTGGTTTCGTGTCCTGAACTCGTACTTTTTTCAATAATGCCGCGCATTGTGGGATGCGGCTCATGCTTCCGCCTTCCCAAATCGCGAAGGACTTCGTGCTGTCGACCCCAATCGTGCTCAAGCTCTTCACCGTGATTGCGTTTGGAATTCATGGGCTGGTTTTGGGACCCGGAGGGGTGCTCCTGAACGATTCTTCGCATGCACAACCCTTAACCCCACACCCTAACCCATTTCGAAGGGTATTTTTGTGTTCCCTCTCGCATGGCTGAGGTCGATGCTCACAGCCGAGTTTGCTTGGGTTCTAGATTCGGGTTTGGGGTTTTGGGTTGCGGTTTAGGGACATTGCTCCAAGATGCGAGTATTCGCTTTCTATATCATATGGGGGGTTTCAGACTTTCTGAAACTCCCCAATGGATACAGGGTTGAAGGATTCAAGGCATTGGGTTCAGGGTTTAGGGCTAGATTCAGGGTTTAGGTTTGGGTTTGCCCTTGTTGAAATGACTTGGGCAGCCGAGCATTCAGGGGGTAAGCGTCTAAGGTTTAGGGTTAAAGGCTTTAGGCTTCAGGGTTTAGGGGTTTGTCTGTGGGTCTGAGTCAAGTCCGCTAAGCAGGGGAATATTAGGTAAATGGCGCTAGGGTTGCCTCGTACATCTCCAATCTTTGGCAATGTGAAAAGTTAAGCTGCTGTGCTACTATGAGGCGTACTCAGCAGGACAAGACTGGTCAGCAAAAATGCTGACACAATGTACCAAATACGGTTTAGGGTTCAGGGTGTACACAAGTTAAAGAGTGTATTTCACACAGATCGGAACCACAAGAGGTTCATTGGACCCATGAAGCAAGGCGCGAGGGTGCATGCTGAAGCGAATGTACACTCTCGGAGCCATGGTTGTCGACTCACTTCACCCAAGATTTTCGTGTTCTGAGTGCGGTGTAACCCTAAACCCTAAAGCCCTAAACCCCAAAGCTGAATGCTTGATGGAACTCTTGCTCAAGGGCGAATCTGCCCATCTGAAACGGAAGCCAGTGGCACAAATAGCGACCGGATCTTCTGACCCAGCCACAGATATGGCCACACCAGTCATCACCTCAGCAAGCTAGTTGGTGCATGGCCGTACTGCACCGACAGCACGAACAAAGTGCTGCAAGGCTTTTAAAGCCTACAGAGGTCAAAGGACTTATGACTACAGATGTGTCATTGCCTGGTGTTCACGGCCCCTCAGCGACTGCAGCATCTGGAGGGCATGCTCCTCGTCCTTGCAACATGCTTTCGCACTCACGGTCTCCCTTGGCGATTTCTTTGTTGCAACTCCTGTGACAAGAAGTTCGGAGACTTTTCTCTCTCTCTCTCTCGATAAACCCTGAGCCCCACAACCCTACATCGTCTCATGATCTTCAACTCTGAACCCTTAATTATATACCGAAACCCAGATGGCCGAACGCCCTGAATGAATCCTGCGCAATTGCGTGGTTTTCCTGGGGCTTCTCCAGTATGGTCTCACCCAGGACGACAACAGTGTCAGAACCTGGCTTCGCAAAGATTTTGGACATGCGTACCTCCTTCAACGTCAAGGTGTTTGGGTGTAGGTTTGCGGGTTGCAGCATGGAACTTCAGCACTCACAACTGGGACAAGCCTGGCGAGGTTCCACGATGACGATAGCACATTGCTATTTTTTCACGGGACGCCGGCATGCTCCAATTCAGACGAGTACATCTGAGGTGTCAGGCGACATTGACAGCAAGCACCCCGAGCGTCCACGCGTCCAGGAGCGTGGAAAAGAACTACTCGTTGAAAACCGTGGTGCGACGAGCAAATGCACAGGCTGGTGCTCTGGTCTTTTGCTTACGCGAAATCTTCGCTAGGCAGCCTACATCAGTCTACATACGACCAGACAGGGAACAAAAGCCTGGGCAGCCCTCCACGTATGAGCTGCAAATTTACATGACCTTCCACAGAATGGAGGACAAAAGGACCCACAGGCAGGGACTGGAGGCGAACCCAGATCCGATGCTTGTGTCAGGAGGTGGGGGGCCCTGCCCCGTGACTGCAGGGTCGTAGAAGGCGATATTGTCGGATCCCGGAGCTGCCATCTCAAAATCCAAGTAGAAGGATGTGTCGCTGATCTTCGTCACCGTCACAGTGGCACCGTTTGCATCTGACATCTGGGAATCCTTGCGACCGGTCGTCACCACAGAAGGCAGCTCGATTTCGAGGTACATGCTGGAGTTCGAGCTATCCTCGAAGCGGATCTTCGAGACTGCTGTTGAACCGATGGTGTCGAGAGTCTTGTTCGAGTTTATGGTGATCGTGGAGAAGATGCCAACCTCGACCCTGTTCCGGAAAGTGAGAGTGCAGTTCGGGCAATCGAAACTCGACTCCTGGTAAGCAATGAATGTGTACTTGTACATCCCGCTGGTGAGATTCTTCACATCTGGGCACTTCTCTGCAAGCGTCGTGGCATCAAAGCCAGGGGTGTTGTTCACCATCCCCAGGCATCCGTCGTCATCAATCACACCGTCGTTGGTGTAGGTGAACAGCGGCATAGACCTTGCTAAGAAGCCGTTGCTGATGATCAGCTGTGCCAGCATCATCTGGAGTGCACTTCTAGTCGGTTCCCATGGCCTCGCAAAGTCCGTGGCAACCAGGAAGCCGTTGTATTCGGACCCGTCCCCACCATCCTCCATGCCGCCCATCATGGGAGTTGACTGTCCGACTTTGACTTTGACGGTGGAGCCGTTGACGCGCACCAGGTCGTATTTGGTTCCGTTGGCGATGCTCGGGTCAGTTATGGCAGGTGCCTCGTAGACCAGCTTCAGGTAGTCCGAGGTGTAGCCGTTAGGTGCGAGCAGAACCGAGAGGCACTCCTCCAACCCGGCATCGGTGCTCGGGTCGGAGCAGGCGTACTTGGCCACCATAGGCCCGGACCCAAACCACGTACCCGCTGCATTCACCGGGAGTGTGTCGTAGGTCAAGATGTTGGCATCCACCAGCGCAGCAAAGAATGCAGCAAGGAAAGGACGCATGGCTCTCTGTGCGGCTCCGATGACTTTCGGGCTGAGCCAAATGGCTACAGCATGGAACTTAGCAGCTGGGAGTCCAAGGCATGTCTGGCTCAAGGTTTGAAATTTAGGGTGCGGGGGCGCTCCGATACTTTGGACCTTGGAGAAACGAGTTACATAACAAAGGCTTCGTGCCTCTATGCATCCTGAAGTGGGTAGGCCTGGCATCCCCACCGGCTGACAGCATCCGAGCGGCCAATGACGATTCCAACCTTCCTTTCCATCTCATCGGAAAGGGGGTGCCTGGGGTGGGCGAGCTTCATGACCACCTGCACTTGGGCACAAAGAAACCGGAATTTAAAACGTCACAGCCGCCCAACAGTAATCCAAATTTTGGGCGGCAGGCATCATATGCTCTCGGGTCCTGGGCCCCTACCCCCCCCCCGCTGTGTGGCTCCTGGTCCGGGTGGATAGGAAAGCGGCAATTTGCGCAGTAGTTTCCCGCATCAGACATGAATTACAATGCTTAAGTATGAGGGTTGTCTGGCGATGGTGATGGTGGTAGCTATGGCAGATATGCTTTTGATGGTACTGAAGATGAAGATGACGACGACAATGATGATGTTGAGCATGATGTCAAAAATGATCCGATTCTCGACTCGCGTCGCCGTCTAGAGCAGCACAACATCATGAGCAGTATCACCGGTGCCACAGCAAGAAGGAAGATAAAGAGTAACACACAAGAACTTCAAGAACGACGGTAGATGCAATTGTAGACATGAATGGTGGTGGAGAAGATCAGAACAAGTGCTCTTGAAGTTCCGCGTAACAATAGTTGAGGCACTAATCGTGACGAGAGGTCTTTGTGTTACACGTGTTGCGTACTCCCAGCCAGGCCAACCAAAGCCTCAGCTAAGAGGGGTGCAGAGCCCACCACAACAACGAAACCACGGGCGCGGGGATGCGGGGGCAAGGGGTACCACCACAGGCTCCACCCCACAAGGGGGGGCGGGGGGCAGGGGGGGAGGATACCATGGGGTGGGGGAGAGGGACTGTGGCAGCCCTGCATCATATATAGTGCTTCGGGTTGACATGAACACTTGTCTACACTAACTTGTTTTGCAGATGCCAGCTGTAATGTCGAGTTTAGGGGTCCAAGTATTACGACAGTTGGTCAACTGTGCTTTGGACATGCGAGAGCCAGAAATTGATAATCAAATACTGCACATCACGCAGCCTCCGCGCATTTGATGCGTGCGTTTGCCATGACGTACCTTGGTGCGACGGAGCAGCCGTTTGAATTAACATTCCGCTTTCAAGGACTTGAACAGTAAACGCTTAGGCCACGAGTTTTCAAACGAAAGGCCATTGGAGCAAACATGTGCGCAAGCAGATAGTTTGAGGCCGGTACGAGTTAATTTCGAAGTCGAGTTTCCATGCCCCAGAGATGCAAACCCAAAAGTAGAAAGCAATGGACGTGTCCCTAGACACTTCAACCCTAAACCCTAAACTCTCAACCCATAGTCAATACGGGCAGAGAAATACAGGCCTCAACCCTTGCGCGCAGAACGTTGGATTCTACTTGGGCTCTCAAGAATCTATCTTTTTGAAGACTTTCTCTGAGGTATAGGGTTAAGGTTTAGTATATAAGGGGCTCCCATTCCCATAAATAATACGGAGCCTTCGCAGAAAAGTAGGTTCTTTGGGGGTCTTGTGAAGCCCACCCTAAACCCTAAACCCTAAACCCTAAACCCCTAAGCCGTAAAGCTTTGATTTGAGCTTCGATGCCCCGCCTCGCAAGTTGCAAGCTTTAGCGCAGAGAGCTTCGCTTGGCCTAAGGTTTCCCTAGCTGCTTTAAAGGCTAAAGGGTTTAGGGTTTAGGGGTTTAGGGGTTTCGGGGTTTAGTGTTTAGGGTGGGATCAGACGAGGCTAAACGACTCGAACCCTGAACCCCCAAAAGTGGGAAAAACCGAGGCTTTTGATGCTTCTGTAACGTCCAACCCGCAGCTGCTGCCGCACCGCACCCCAAAAAATATGCTTCCCAGGCCTGAGCATGCGGTTAAGGTCTAGCGTTTAGGGTTTAGGGTTGCGGTTAATGTCTATAGGGTTTAAGGTTTAGGAAACCAGCCGAAGGGTTACTGGTAGAAATGCAGGGATCAAGTTGCTCCCGCGGCGTGTATTTCGACTTATCCAGGTCCTGGCAGCGAGACATCCCCGAGGGAGGAGCCTTGTAGTCTCCATCTGGGTAGTTGTCAAAATTATGGTCCCTTTTGGGGTACCCTACATAATAGGTGCCGTATTATAACTAGGACCTAAAAAGGGACTATAATTTTGACAACCACCCATCCAGAAACATGATCCCAAATCCTGTTCAAAGCAGAAGAAAGCCTGTCTAAGCCCCTGTAGTACTATAGTAGCACTCCCTTCAAAAAGCACGACATCGAGCTTACGGGAACTTGAGCTGCGTCGCCACTGCACCCCGCAAACCTGAATTCAGCCGCTAAGAGGTTCTCGGGGCCACTTGGGCATTTTTGCAAGGAGGGGAGAATAGACTCCAAACCCTTATCCCTTAAGCAGTCAGGGGATCCCTAAACCCTAAACCCTAATTCTCGCTCCGAGGGGATCTCACTCGGGGTTGTTTCTTCTAGTTGTTGTCCAGACTTCGTTGGGGTTTCCCGGAGTAAGAGTCGAAATTGGGGATGTAAGTTTAGTACTACGACGACGACGGCTACTGCTACTGCTAC